ATGATTAAAACAAAAACAAAAAAGCAAAACTTGATTATCTTGATTCAACTTTACAAATGGTAAATTGTATTAGGTAGAGTCAGATGAAATTACTTTTTACTTGTAAAAACAGTAATTCCCTGTGGTTCAACTTAACTTGTATGTGTTTGCGTGTGATTACACTGGTTGATGTTAGCTCTTATGACTACAACATTTAAAGTTTACTCGCTTGATCCTTATAATGCAATACAATATAATATAATATAATATAGTAATATAGTGTGTGTGTGTTCTCTATAGATGAGTTGATGACAAATGAATTTTCCCATTCAACTGCTCGGCCTATGTCTAAAACCCTTAGATCTTAATAATAAAAAAGATGAATATTCACAACTCCAGGAGACCAATGAGCAGCCCAAGAAAAAATCCTAGTGTATTTTCTCCTATCTGTTCCCTAACGTAACCTTTTAAAAAACCTGTTCCTCCAACATACAGGCGCCTGGGTATTTCCCCAGTTACTCTGTATATGGCTTAACTGTGTCTTTTGAAAGGCAGCTTCATAGTCTAGCAGATTTTTGTCAGCTGCATTTCTTTTTAACTCTTCAGGCTATTTTTTTCAAACTAAGCATTCAGTCATTGTCACTAAACACATGAATAGGATAAAGAAGCCTAAAAGTTAACAATTGGGCAAAATGGCTTAGATTTACAAGGATTGAATGCATGGAGAAGAAATAAAAACAATTACACTCAGTCAAATGAGTATTTTATGCTCCCTCTGCAATCTTCCTACATGGTGCCCAACTTGGGGTGTCAGCGGGATTATTGGGCAGCCTCAGCTCTAACTACCCACCCCCCAGAAGTCCTCATTCAGCAGTGACATTGTTGTCTTCCTCTGATCCTCAGATTATGGAGATGAGGAGATGAATGTGCAGCACTAAGATTCCCTGCCGAGATAGCTTTTCACTCTCTTTGGTAAGAAAAAGATCAAAAGGAAACGGGCTAATTAGCATACCAAAGAAGACAAAAACCCCTGGAGCTTTATCATTGTTGCAATCCAATAATAAACACCCGAGTACAAAAAAGATTATTTGATAACGACACACAGAACTGAAGGCCTTTGAAATAGCAGCTTCTAGAAAAAAAATATTTTTGGAAGTGAAAATATCCATAATTATACAGAATAATGCCTATACATTGGGGAGAGGCTCTTGGTTCCTGCGAGGGCTTACAGACCCACTTTCCCTGAGAACAGCCTTGTGGATCCCTTCATCTTCATAACTCAAAGAGCCTACAAAAGGTTTCCAATCTCTGCCCAAGCAAACATTCAGCTCTTTCATATCCCTCACCCCCAAATTAAATACAGAATTCTTGTTTTAAAATAAACGTCCCCTTTTCCCAGACCAGGACCCAGTCAGAGACTTCAGCTCCAAAACCAAAGAAATTTGCAACTCTTTGAGATTCATTAGACTTCTCTGTCACTTTCTGGGGGCTTAGAAACTAGGAGTCTGCAAATATGGAAGTTTTTCAAGGGAGAATAATGAAGCAACTGTTTGGTTATAAAGTTTACTCTGCTGGAAGAAACATAGGGTTCCACTAGGGAAAGTCTGCTTAATCTGGATGTTAATCTTAGGGTTGTGGAACTTGTCTCCAGACCCAAAGTGGTCACCTATATGGTTACCAGAACTGATTCTTTTTTTCCCCTCAATATATGCTTTTATTTAAATTAGAAACATGCATCCCCACATCATTCCCCAGGGAGGGTGAGACCCTCCTTGAGGGGATCTCCAGAGTCTGTCGTTTCATCCAGGGCAGGACCTAGGCCCTTCCCCATGTGTCCAGGCTGAAAGAGCATCCCTTCATGTGGAATGGGCTCCCAGAGTTTATTCGTACGCCATGATCAGAAGTGATTCTTAGTCTTGCTGGATTTGATTACGTTGCAAGCCTACCCCTTCCTATAAGGCATACATAGACAACTGTGGCCAGCATTAGTTCATAGGTCAACACTGCACTTTCTCTTCACTAACCTTCAGCACATCCACAAGAACAATATGATGTTCCTCTGAGTTTGAGAGCTTAGGGTAAACTAATGAAGAATTTCTACACGGAGAAACAATGGTTGCTCCTAAGCCAATCATCAGTTCCCATTTAAAGTACTACTGGACACACACACAAACACACATACACACACACACACACACACACACACACACACACACACACACGTATTAATTTACATGGACTTGACACAGGTAACTATAGTCCACTTACCAGAAGCCCATAGGTCAAGGGCCCACTTGTTATTTTAACTTATTTGCAACCAAATAAATCAGTATTAAAGAGTTAAGTATTACTGATTCTTTACAAAACTAGAGTTTAAATGGATCGTGCCTGTCTGAGTTAGGGTTTCTATTGTTGCAATGAAACATCAGGATCATAAAGCAAGTTGGGAAGAAAGGGGTTTATTTGGCTTACACTCCTGCATTGCTCTTCACGGAAAGAAGTTACCACAGGAGCTCAAACAAGGCATTATCCTGGAAGCAAGAGCTTATCTAGAGGTCGCCAAGTGGTGCTACTTACTGACTTGCTTCTCTTTGCTTGCTCAGCCTGTTTTCTTATAGAACCCAGGACCACCAGCTCAGGGATGGCACCACTCACGATGGACTGGACCCTCCCCCATTAATCACCAATTGAGAAAAAGACTTACAACTGGATCTCACGGAGGCATTTTCTCCTTCCTCTAATGACTCTAGTTTGGGTCAAGTTGACACACAAAACTAGCCAGTGCAATGTCTCTCCTGTCTTATAGATTTTTTTTAACAAAATTAGGATGAAAAATGTTATCTTTGACTGTCCATCCAATAACATACATTTCTTCCTAGGCCCTCTAGGTTCTTTGCAGTTGTATAAAACATTTAAGGATATTATTTTCTTAATTTCATACATGATTATTTTGTTGTCCTTCCTTTTTAGAAATTGTCCATTGGCAATGAAGCAAGTTTCAAATCAGAATTTTACTTAGAAAATGTGTCTACAGAACTTAAATAAATGTCATTTACCCACCACTCCAAAGTATTAATTAGACTTAGCTGTTTGCCAGCTGAGTACCAGAGGTGTCCACGGTGATTAGCTGCACTAATTGGAATTTCAAGTGGTGCTGATAACCACACAAAGATAATAGGATTATACCTCCCTGCCCTGGAAAAAGAAGTAGCTTTGTCATAACTATTTAGATGGTGATGTTAAGTTCTTTCACACCTAACTACTCCCAAAGAAAGAACACTTTGAGATTCTATTTTTATTCCTTTAAAGAAATTAAATTTTAAAAGGAAAAGAAAAGTCTTCTAGGTAGCAGTAGAAACAAAAGGAGCATCAATCTGTCGCTGGATGTTGACTTGTCTCAGAGAAACAGGGGGAAGAACTTTTCCTGGCCACCACCAAAAGGAACGTATTTTGTTTGGATGAGAAGACACTCAGACATTTCTGAACAGTGCCGGCCCCAGGATGGTCAGAATTAAAAATATAACTCATCTTGTGAAAGCTTCTTGCAGATATTATTAGCTGCATTTTATGTGGGAAGGAAATATCACTTAAGATGAGGTGATGCATATTCATAGTTTTGGCACTGAGGAAGCTGAAGCAGGAGGATCACAAGGTTTGAAGCCAGCGGGCACTACATGAAAGTTTTCATTTGAAGAAGTTCAATGCTTTCTCCCCACTGATTACTTTTCTTACGAGCATTTCCCATTCATGGAAGTAGCAAACTTTCTAGCTATGTGTGCTCAAAAACTAAAACACAGAGTTCACAAGTTCAAGATAGCAATACCTGAAAAGTGTAAGGTCAGAGCTGTATCGCAGCCATAAGGACTATTGGTTTAGCTTACACATGAAAGCACTCCTTCTGTAGGACATGGTCATGGTTTCCTGGAGAATCTCAAGTGATATAGAAGACACATGGCAACTTAAGGACATATAAAAGACCCAAGTAAGCACTGCAAATTTTCATCCAAAGCCAGGCAATAGCTTTAGACATCCTTTATGTTGCCGTATTATATTTCTAAAACACCATCTAAAAGTTACTGTTTTATCATAGAAAGCAACAACTACCCATTATCACAGTATTGAATGTGTTGAGAAAGTTGGGGAAAAGCAAGGCCATAAAATCTAAATCATCTTTAAAAACTGAAAACAAAAGTCAAAAGTCAAAATATATGTATCAGTGTGAAAAAAAAGAATAAACTGTAGCTAGATCCTGAGACACTTCTAGGGGAATTCAAGGAACAAACGAAGATGTCCCAAAAAACTTAACACAGTGAGTTTCAGAGTTGGAGCCTTCAAAAATGGGACGAGTGAGTGAACCAGAAACAGATTTTGCTTATTTTAAAATTTTCCCTTGAGTTAACAAATAGCCAAAACGTATTTTATGTTTCATGTGATGTTTAGGATACAAGAAGAACAATCCCATACTGGAAAGTAAGCTTCACAATGAAAAGACTTGTGTTTCTAAGCCCTAATGTTTAACAGTATGTACTAGGATCATAGAAAGTGATTAGTAAATGTTTTAGGGAAGGAAGAGGTGAGGGAAGGCAGGCAGGAAGGAATCTGATTGCAATTTTCTAAAGTCTTAATCAAATCTTTGATAGTTAAGTTCTTCTGCTAATGGCAAGCAAGGCTGTGTGATGCTGTAACTGTTGATTTGTGGATTTCTCTTGCTGGAGGGTTCAGTGTGTTTGGGGTCACATAACTGAACACAGGCTAATGAAAAACTTGGCAAAAGCAGAAGGTTTGTTTCTGCATGTGCTATGACTAAAATTGAATTCAAATCAAGCAGGACATGAACCTGAAGTGTTTCTGGCAACGCATGCCCATGTCACATTATGAAGGTCCACTCTAGCCTTGGCTCTGCACACACAGCATGGAGAATTACAGTGCTCATGCTGTGACACCATACAACACCATGCAATGCTAACCAGTGAACAATAAAACTCACATTCAAGATGTTTATGTTACAAGCTTTAGTGGTTTTTATCAGATACATACAACATTTTCTGCTCTTATACAAACATAATGGTTAAATTTCAGGAAAACAAAGACTGAATATTTTTCTTACTATCATTCTTTAGAGTGTAAATATCAAATTGCTGTGTCGTTAGACCGTGTTATATCAAAATGTTTATTTTTTTTCAATTACTCTTTTAATTTCACTAAAAATTATGGATTTTAGCCTGGGATTAGGATAGAATTTCTAATAATATCTGAAATGATCCAAAACATGTGTCTCTATTTTGTACTATACATTTATGCAAAGTGGCATTCTTAGCATTGATGACTATAGAATCAAAATATCAAAGATTTTTTATGTTCTACAGTATCACATATTCAGCCAAAATTTAATTCTTTGTATAAAACAGATAAACACCCTTAACTAGGTAGTGGACAAATGAGCTCTATTCTTTAACAGATGATAAAACTATAGATATGATAAACAATAAATTTATATGATGTTTTACCAGGAAATATTTGACTTGTATGTCTCTTTCATATGCCTATAGCCTAGGAGTTATATAAAAATATCTCAGGCAGAAAGGACCACAAGTAGGGGAAGTTTCAGATACCTTAATCTAGAAGATAGAAGAGACTAAATTAATAGTGTATTTATTGCCATATAGGTGAAACTTGAAGGAGATTTTTTTTAATTTTGGTGATAATGAGAACAGGATAATCTATTAGAAAGTGAAGAAAGTGGATCTAAGTTATGTATCAGGAAAACAGTAAGTAAAATTGTCATTTGAGGCAATAGGGAAATTAGAAATTAACACCTCGAAGTCAGCTATAACAAGAACTTAAAATATGTAGAACTTGAAATCATGCATTGACAGGACCTGAGGAATACCAACAAGACCCTTAGTGGAAGAGAGAGCGATAATGGGGGAATGGTTTCTGGAAGCCAGAGAAATAGAACCTGTTCTTTATAAGCAGATTAACTGGCAAAACCATCACCTGCACTAACACGGAAAATAGAAAGTTACCTAATTAATTGTGGGTTCAGCTCTAGAGATATTCATGCAGAATGTTTAAGGAAACACCTGGCATCCTTTGGTTGCCTAAAATATATTATGACAGTAAAATAAGCTAAAAATTAACTTTTGTTTTCCAGTCGAGTTTTAAGAAAGCACTTCAGGGGGTGGGGGCCAAAAATAAAAAGTAATTTTTATCTTTAGTGCTCTTTTGGAAAATATTTTCAGAGAAAGAAGTTGCCTGAAGAAAAACATCAAATTCAGGACATGGTCATGTAAAATAGGACCTGAAAGCAAACCAACAAATTAAAGACAGTGTTTTTGATACCTAAGAAGAAATAACAGCACTGTCTTACAGTTCTCAAAGAAACTGTGACTCCTCGGGGTATTCCTCATAGACATTCAATGTGTGTGTGTGTGGGGAGGGACAAAAAAGGGGAAAAGTTTCAAAAGCATAAGATTCATGGTGTGTAGCTTGGGGGGTTGCTGGGTGCTCTAGGAAAGGATCAGCCCTACGGAACTTCAGATATGATATTTGTCTAGTGAAACAAACCTCTAAGATTTACAAGAATTACACAGACTCAAAGTTGTGCTAATGTGAGCATCTGTGAACGGGATTGAATAGACCAAGACTTTTCGAAACGGAATGACATGCCTGTGCTCTCAACCTGCTGTGAGCAAGAAAGACGAAGGCTGAAGAAATAAGTGAGTGCATTGTAATCCAGAGACATAGAGAGTCACTTTCAGGTATCAGAACTCAGCTCTCACTCATAAAATAAGTGGTAGTACATACCCAACTATATTCCAGGACTGCGAAGGACAAGCAACATCAGCTATAACTCTGCGGTTCCCCCGTGGTCCTTGCGAACGGAGGCTGTTGCTACTGTCTCTGTTCTGCCATTTTATTAGCAAGGATGGAAGAGTGGGACATGCAGTGTATTGTCTCAGATCACAGGTGCTGAAGCTCAAAGCAGCCAAACAGGAAGAGCTCCATTCCCACTTGTCCTGATACAGAAAACAGCCTGCCTCCTGAGGCCTGTGATAATGTGGAATCAGTCTTTAAGAGTGAATTGTCTCAGTAGGAGTAACAGGGACTACTAAGGGCCATGCAGTTGCAGTAGAAAGGGCTAATGCTCATAATGAACCATGACGCTCACCTTACACTCATAGATTTTGGCCACACAAGTAGCTTTGATCCATGGTACATTAGCATGCATGATGCAAGCAAAGACCCTATAAGCACCTTGATATCGGGGCTGATTACTTGAGAATGTTCCTGATACTCAGCCGACCTATGGTGTGGAAGTTTAGCTAGCCACTTTCAGAGGATTCATGGAGAATCTCAGTGATTCTATTTATTCAATGACATAGTCAGTTCAAAAAGTAGAAGAGACATATTGCTTATTCCAGTCAAATAAATTGGGCCACAGATGAATTCCCCACACCAAGCCTAATGCAAATCATAAAATCAGTAATGCATGGGTGCTATATGTGATTTATTATAAGCAATAATGTAATGAAAAAAGCACATGTGTTTCCATTTTAAATCTCCCTATCTTTTGATAGTATGCTGTGTGAAATAATTTTCTCATGACTTGACCTTAAAAACCAAAATTGCGTATTGGAAGTTCCAAATTATTTTAGTGTTCTGTTCAATTAATTTCTAGGTTATATCAAATAAGAGTAATAATGCTGTATTTATAATTATATAAGAAAGCAAATGTCAGCACTAATTTTGCAATACAAGATTAAGATTCTTAGAGAAACCTGCGTCTACAGGGACATTATTTTTTTTTTACCACATGAACTTCTTTCTGTATTGAATTTATTCTGTGCACGGCTATCCCATGTGTCTGGTCACTGTTGTTACTCTTGCTTCACACGTAAATGCAATGTCTGGTCTATCTTTTCTGACTAGTTCTAGAATCTGAAGCTCTGCTGGCATAAAGTAAGACTCAGTGAGTGCTAAAGTCATTACATACTCTTAAGATTAAAATGCCTCAGATGGACATTTCTAGAATCCAGTCTGATTTCTAGTCCTCTGTCTCTTCGTCCTTTGCAGTGAAGAGGGCTTGTGACTACTTCTGGCCAATGTACTGGTAGTGAAGGGACTCCATTACTTGTTAGGTGAAGCAGTGAAAACCCAGGAAAGTTACTTCTTGCTCTTCTCACTTCATGACATCTAATGATGAAACAGAGATGAGACCAAGTTACACAGGATGCTTTACTCCCACACATAGTATGACCACTTTAGATAACTGCTAGACTTTCAAGTAATGAGCCTCACTGTATTAAGTCACTGAAAGTTTGGAACTGTTTGGTCTTGTATCAAACCCTGCTTTTCTGTATTTGGTATGGCATAATTATTAACAACAAACTCCTAAAACTATGCAGTTATAAGCCTGTATGGATTTCAGAGAGTTCGTGGAAACTAATAGATATCTACTATACGCAAGGTACTGTGCTATGTAAAGAAATGCAGACAAAGATGGAATAATTACTACTTTCAAGCAGTTTATGGTTTTATGGGTGATAAATTATATATATAAGGAACTGCAGTGCAAGGGAAATGTGTGGTAGCATATGTATAAGCTATAAGGTGATACAGAAACCTACATGAGATGGATATGATGATTTCTTAAAACAGACCCTCAGTGAGACTACTTATGAAAATAGCTTTCCATTCATATGCACCACAAGGCAAAATGTCCAGTTATTAGGTTATTTCCCACATTCTCATTTCTTAATGTGTTCCCCTGTAGGCTCATTGTGCATTGAACTGTGTCTGCCAAATTTGACGCTAAAGTGCCTGTCCTCATGACATCAAAGGGTGGCATTATTTAGAAACAGTGCTTTACAGAGACGTCAAGTTAAAATAAAATCATTACAATGGATATTAGTCTAATAGACTGGTGTCTACATAAAAGCAGAAGTTTGGAGACAAACACATAGAGAGAAAGGAGTGTGTCTACAATTCAAGGAATACCAAAGATTTCCCACAAACCAACCAGTAGCTAGGGAGAGGAATGAACTCAGAAACACCAAACTTGCTGGCACCTTGACCTTGAACTCTTGGCTTCCACCATTATGAAACAATGTATTTATATTAATTAAACTACCCAGTTGTGGTGTATGGATACAGAAGCCTTAGTAAACCAATGAAACTATATTGCTATATGACACAAAGAAAGGAAGGAAAGCCAACAATAGAACAAAGGTCTATTGAGAGTTAGAGAAATAAATTGACAGTTTGGATAGCTGGTTTAAAAAGAAGGTTGAGGCACACATAATGGAGAGATCAACCGATCTCGGGGATCCCAGACCCAGTGGATACATCTACATCACAGCTCCTGCAACATGGCTCAAGAACATTTTAAAAGAAAAGGAAGAAAAATTATAGTGGGCAGAAAGCCAGGTCCGCTGTGAAATAGTCTCTCCTAGAAATGGCTGCAAAGTCAGAGAGGAACATTGGCAATATTCATAGACATACGACCATGAAATGAGGGAAATCTCACAAGCTCCCACCCATAGACAAAGAACTACAGGCAACTAATGACGGCTGAGAGAGGGAGAATTAGCTCTTCCCAGGGATACACCTCCTGATTGCTTATCTAATACAAAGTGATCAGCCCTGAAACCATATGTACATAAAAAACCAAAATGGACTCAGCAGGTTTTATTTATATATTTGTGCTTACATATATGTGTAGCAATAGGTGTAGCAATAATAATCAAAGAAAAAGAGACTATCTCTTTGAGAATGAGTGGGGGTGTTATAGAAGAAGTTGGAGTGAGAGGACTTGGGAGGGACTGAAGGGAAAAACAGATGGGGCAAAGTGATGTACACACACACACACACACACACACACACACACACACACACACACACAGAGCTAAAGAGTGGAGAAACCAGAGGCTGTAGCAGGAGTAGAGCCAGCTCTGTGTTGCAGCTGCTCATTAACTATTTCTCCTTCCTATTTGCTGGCAACAAATCTCATTGATTAGAAAAACAGTGGAAAGTAACAAATATTTCTGGCTATTGTTGCTTGTGATGGGAAAAGGGAAGAAAGAAACAACTAGGGGTAGAGGTGGAGGTTGAATTTGGTTTCATCATTTGATTAGGCTACCAAAACAAGACATAAGGGAAAGAGGTGTGTGTGTGTGCACGCTCTTGTGCTGTTATTTTTCCCATTGGCTTTGTTTCCTCCAGTAACTGCCTTTCAAATACAATTTTTAGTTTTTCCCAAGCAATGCAATATAACAGAAATTCTAAATGCTCCAAAACACTTCACTGTTTCCTAAATTACATGGATGTTATAGCATTAGACTGACTTTCTTGGTGTTATCACAATAGTTCCCAACTTATTGACTATCTAAGATTTGCATACACCAACACAGACAGCTCTCATGGACAAGTTTCTCACTTTTTTCTTACACTTTTCTCTTTATATGTGATGTGACATGAAGTAATGGCATCACCTCTTAACATGGCATATACAAGTGTCTTCTGAAAGCAATTCCAAATAATGAGAATGAAAATATTGGAAATAATTTAAGGTAATATCAGCATTTCTGGTACAATAGATTCTAAAATTTCCCATAGTGACCATTTTACTATGCCAATCTCTTTTGTCAACTAAAGATAGTTTTGTTTTGTTTTGTTCTGTTTTGTTTTGTTTCCTACAGATTTGGAGTCACACCAAAGATTTTAAACATGCATTTTTGTCTCCTAATGATAAACCAACCCCTGCCAACATACTTAAAAAGTGACAAAGTGTGCATTTTTTGTTAGACACGTTACAGAATAGATAGATGACACATGTTTGCCCTCTGGGAATGATAAAAAGAAACTTGAAAGAAGTTATTTTCTCATACACAAGTTTACTAAGATTTTACTTTATTTAAAAAATTCTCCCATAAAGAACAATAATTTTCACTGAAGTTAAGATATTTTTGTCATTGATATAATGGTAAAGAGAAAAGTAAAAAGGTCATGGGGGTCAATAATAGCAATTAACACTTATGCATCTCTATCTTCAAAGTGTTATATGAAAGATTAACTTAATATTCTTAATAAATTCTTAACAATGGAATCTTGAAATTCACAGGCAAATGGATGGCACTAAAAGAAACCATCCTGAGTGAGGTAACCCAGTCACAAAAAAGACAAACATGGTATGTACTCACTCATATATGGATTTTAGGCATGGATCAGGAGAGTGCCAGTTTTCAATTCCACTGACAGAGCGTCTGGGACAGGATAAAACCTAAGAGAGATATTCATGGTACCCCAGAGAAGAGAAATGAGGCAAGATCTCCTGAAGAGATTGGGAACACGATGGGGGGTGGGAGTGGGAGCTGGGAAGAAGAGAGGGGAGGACCTTTGGAAAAAATAAAAAAGGTTTTTGTTGACAAATTGTTATTAAATTATGAACATGTGCTACTTCCCTGTCCTCTAGAAAACCAGAAGAAATCAGAGCTATGCAGAAAGCAACTCGATAAAAAATACAAAATTCAGCTGAATATGAAATATTAGTCCCAACAACAGGTTTTCTGTTAAAGGCTATTTCACAAGCTGGTATGCTGTTACAAAAGAGGAAACTTCTGAAGGAAGCAGGTAATTGGATGTGTGCTGGGGATCTGTGTCTTGCTGCCAACCCCTCTGCCTCTTCTACCCTCTGCTTCCTGTTTGCTGTGATGTGAACAGCCTCTGCCATATGCTCTCATCATCAGCAAGTTCTGTCTCATTGTGGGTTTGATGGAGCCAAGGGCTCTGGGTTCAAACCATGAAAGCAAAGTAAAGAATTCTGGTTTAAAGTTGGGTAGTAGATCAGTATTTATCCCTGGCATATAAATGGACTTTAGGTGCCCATCCCACAATGAGGGATGCTCTCTCAGTCTGGACTCTCAGGGAAGGGCCTAGGCCCTGCCCTGAATGAAATGACAGACTCTGGAAATTCCCCATGAGGGCCTCACCCTCTCTGGGGAACAGAGTTGGGATTGGGTGGGGGACTGGGGGGCATGGTTTGGGGATAAGGGAGGAGGGGAGGGAGAGGGAGCTGGGATTGACATGTGAATCAAGCTTGTTTCTAATTTAAATAAAAAAGTAAAAATCTAAAAAAAAAAGCTGTGTGTGTCAGTTGCTCTGTCACAGTAATGAAAGTCTGGCTAACATTAAATACCTTCTGTGTGACACAGAAATCAGTTCTAGGGAAACAGCTTCTTTCTCCCTTTGTTTCTTTTCTCTTACATTTGTTTTATTTTTGTCTGTTTGTTTTCTGGATTTACAGACCATTAGCTTTACTGTCTTCCTCCTGCATTTCTATATGCCCAGTCAGACCACAATAAAATGCTACACTATGTAAAACACCATGTTTCCTTGAAAGGCCTGTGAGACCTGCTCCAGCCCCTATCCAGGGTTCCAAAGGTGAAATGCTTCTCAGCAGTGAAGGAAGGGGTAAAAGATTTCTGTAGCAAGTTCACACACAATCTGAAGGCCGTGTTCTTTATTTCATGTGCTCTTTATTGTTCTGTTTCTACTCTAATATCCCTGTCCTGCTTCTAACTTCCCTGTACTGCTTCTTCTATTCTAAAAACTCTTCTCCTTCAAGAGGCTTGAAGTGATAAAGACGTTTCTCTCATTGGTCAAAAGCACGTTCCTAAAGAAAGCGATAAGGAGATGAGCCATTTACCATGACAACATAAGGATCCAAGGCCATAGGAGCAAAACCATGATGAGACATGGGGAGGGCACAGTGCCGAGTGACAGCTTTAAGGCACAGATCTATTGTTAGTAGGCTGGTAAGTGAAGAGCTGGCATGATTTAAGGTTCAATGTGAGGTGAGCTTGAAACAGTATTTTCCTGTCTGCCAGCAGAGAGAATCCAGGACACTCTTGTTCTCTATCTCTGTGAGAGATAGAGTTTAACAACTTTAGACATGACATAATTCTCATTCTTGGATATCTGTGAATGTCTCAACTGAGGTCTCTTTTCCTGGACATTAACACTGACCAACTGTCTGCCAAAGAAGATAGTTGCAGAGAGGCAGATTTCTAAGTTTCAAAGACCTTATTGAGAGACCAAAGGTATTTGATGGGGGAAGCCCTTCTGTGTATATGTTGTCCTATTGGTTGATAAATAAAGCACTCCTGGCCAATAGGGAATCAAGATAAGTGGAACTA